CTAAAATTCCCAAAGAAAACTAATATTTTTAAAACCTGTTTTCAAAATTCCACCAACAGGGCCCCAACGATCGTATTATGGATACACATGTGGCATCTAGGGATACTACTTGGTCAATAAATGAACCCAAGTTTGAGCCTATTCCTTCTATGAGGATAAATATGAGTCGACACAGCTTGAACCATCATACAAATATACGGTCACAGTATCGATCGCGATATTTATTTTAGGCCTTCAAGCCCTATAAAAAGAGAAATTCATTAAATAAAATCATATAGCCAATGAATCTGATCCTCTATCAGCAAGTTGATATGGTCAATAAGGTTTAGTCAATGGAAATGCACGTACACCCTAATGATGGTTGTGTTAAATGTAGAACTCAATCAAATGGGCCAATTTCAAATATTTCAAAAATACCTCCCAAACAATCACAAAATCCAAACTCCCAAAAAATCCCAAAATGCAAAATATTTAAAGTGAAAATTAACTATCACTAATATAAAGCAAAAACCAATCCATCCTTCGCAATAATTGGCCAAAGGTAGACAAATTTGAAAATGTACTGCAACTCATAAAGAACTAATGTTTAGTCGAGAATATTAATAGAATTCATTCTTACATAATCACCTTCTAGTAAGGATGTGGCTCGTGTCCTCTAATTGGAAGTTTTGCCACCAAATGGCTCTACAGGTAAACGGTTATGATCGGAGCCCTCTGAACTTGGTGGTTTGTTGCTTAATGGCACAACTATATTATAGTTATGGTTAGAGCTTGTATGCTCCCTGGTGGCATTAAATTCTTAATATATGAATCAATATGATATAACTGATAGGGCACATAGCCCTTTGTTAGCTAAGGTGGGTTTAAATTTGTCCCTTAGGTAAATATTCCCCCAAGGTTTACAAGGTATCTTGGATGACACAATCCATGGCTACTAACAAGGATCCTTCTGTCAGGTTGGGTTGACTACCTCCTCTGAATAAGTAGATCAGGGACCATGATGACCTAGGATGAAATAAGAACTCAGATCATAAAGCCCTCATAAAATGATGGCAAAATCTGTGGGTTGTGTCTTATCTACAAACCCATATACCTTTCTAAAATTTACCCCATAACTTAATTCATTAAAACTCCTCCAAAAAGCTACGGGGAGGCTGGGACCAAATTTTTGGAGCACATAGATTTCTGGCGACTTAGTTGGAGACTAATTTCTATTTCCATTTTTGTCTAGTCATCTAAACACTATAGTGGTATCTGAATCAATGTGGGCATAAAGTTCTAAATCTCTCAAAATGATCATTTAATTAATTAAGGATTTTGAATACTCTTAAATGATCAACTCAATAAATTCACTTAAGATTTCATTAAGCTGTTTTTAAAATTTATTTTAGTTGGATGGTTGTGTTATCTATTCTTATAATTTTTATGTGCAAGTCTCTACATTTTGAATGTGTGGGGTGATGTGTCAGATCCTAATAACTAACACTTTCCTTTTATTTGTGAAGATGGATCTATAGAACACTGCATGTACTATCTAGCTGGGGCATGAAGCCAACATCCAACTAGTGAATGATATGATAAATACTGGAAATAATGGAGCCATCATCTAGTTTGGTGGGCTCGAATTTCCCGTAGCTATTGTAAGGGTTGTTGTTGTCCCTGTATAAGACATGGATTCCAAAGGGCCTAGTAGGAGGCCCCATTTTGCTGAAATCATTATACATTACACGCATCTACCAGCATCGCGAGTTGCTACTCCTGTTGTTATTGAGAATCCTCATAGGAGGATTTATGTATTTGAATGATTGTCACAACCAGAAACTCCAACCACTAAGACGATTCTGACTGGTGGAAAGATCTTTGTGGTACCTGCTAGGGCCACTAATCCACTAATTGGGTTACCTGCACCCGGGAGGAATAATGCTGAGACTACCTCATCTAGAGGAAGGCTTATAAGAAGGCAGAGAAGAAAGAAAAATATTGAACTCTAGGCTCAACAATAATTTTCAATCCATCCATCTAATCTGCCTGCTCTAGAACATGAAGCCAATGTTCCCACCTGGAA